ATAAAGCGCGGATTGATCGCGCTCGAAATTTGGCGCGTCAGCAGCCATCTAACGCGTCGCGCAGCGCGCGACAAATAGGAGCGCGCTCCAACAACCGCGCTCAGCGAATCGCGCCAGGCCCGTGGCATTGCTCGTGCCGTTCGAAGCGGGCCACGCAGCGGTCACCCGGGAGAGCCTGAAACGACAAACAAATTGCAATAACAACGTTCAAATTTTAACTAATCATCGAAAATAACAACCGACGCGAATTTTGAGACAAACACGTAGAAACTTCGAGAACACTAAAAGGAACGTTTGTATAAAAGCTCTCTCGGGGAACCGCCGGGCGCACTCGATCGAGATTTATCCGAGACAATGTGTGATTTCTTTGTACGGAGACGTTCGATAGCAAGAGTTAAAGTAGCTTGCTTTTCTTTTGCTAACCATCGCTTGTGGTTCGCGAATTCACGCGTCTTCGAGAATATTCGTAGCTCGCGAATATTCGTTACAAAATATTATCCGTCGCTCGCGGATTTGTTCTGTCGCTCGCGGAGTTTACCGTCGCTCGCGGTAATCGCTCTTGCAAGTTCGGTCGATCGCCAAAGTTAAACCGAGAATAAAATAGACGGCTATTTTATTAGTCCGAACTGTATATTTATTGATTTTAATAAATTGACTGCTTTTCTACAAAACCGATTTTGTGTCCGTTGCTCACGCACTTTGCGCTCCCGGGTTCACTCGCGCACACTACTCTAGCTCAAGATTTGCGAATAAATCTTCAGCGAGAATGGAAAGTTATTCTAGCTCATGGCGCTAAAGATTTATTCGCAAATCTTTGAGCTAGAGTGCTTCCCCAAGAGCTGCATCAAGATTCGTTGCAAATAGGACTGATCGGAAATTACCACAATTTTTTATAATGTGAAAATACTCGAAAAAACTCGCGCGTCTTTTCGCGAGTATTTTACACCTTTGCGTATCCCGCCTTTGTTATTTTTCTCTCTCGGAGTATTTTATTAAAGTCAACTATATTAAACGCGAATAATATTTATCGTATTCTCCGATATACAAATTATATTATTTATAACTACATACCCTATGTCCATCATATAGACCTGATGAACGAACTATGCAATATTTGTATATGTTTTTTATTCTCTGAGACAGGCTGAATCGTATCAAAACATTGTATTCGCCATGTATCAACAGGTTTATAATCTGATGAACCATGACATGCAATCGGTATTGCGACGAGAATGATACGTGAATAATGGATCGTCGTACGAGCAGTGTACATAGGAAATTTCGGTAGCGCCGATGGGCGGTCCTTCGGCGAGATGCGCAATCTTTTCCTCGACTCGGAAACGTTGGGATTCGACAACGTGGGTTAAAAATACCATAACCTATATTATTTAGACAATAACCTATGTTATTATTTATACAATAACCTATGTTATTATTTATAAAATAAACTGTTATTTTATATTAACAATAAACTATCAAAGTTTATACGTTTTAAGAAGCATCCTCGAGAGCGCGATGGATAAAATGGCGAACGAGCGTCTCGCGAAATGATAAAACACTCGCGAAGAAACGCGTGATCTCGCGAGTTCGATTCCTCGTTTGTTCGTAAATATTCTCGCGAGACCCGCGCCCGTTATTCTCAGCTATCGCGCTCTCGGAGTATTCTGTTAAGATAAATTGTATTAAACGCGAATAGTATTTATTACATTTCCCGATATACAACGTTTTTCGCTCTTTACAGCGGTATTCTATAATGCCCCCACGGTAAAATATCCATAGTTCCGGATATTACGTATCGCTTGTCGTCGTGCGGACTGAGCGCGACCTTCGACTCCGACACCGTATACACCTCGTGTAACTTGGACCTTACGTAGGACTGTTCGCCCCTCGCGCCTCATCTCGATCCTTCGTCGAAGACAGCGCGCGTAATCGTCGAACGTTATCGTTCTCGCGACGATGCCGCACAGTGGGGCCACAAGACATGCGTTGTTTTAAAAAAGTCTAGAGCTCTTGGTTTTTAAGCAATCTTGACGTTTTTTTTTAAATAATCGTCTTGAAATTTGCAAAAGATCCCTCGTGACCGATTTAAAAAAAATTGTTACTAATTAGTAAAACATATAAACACAAGAACCTTTTCCTGAAAATAAACTGTGACTGCCGAACAATTGCATACAACTTATTTAAATAGATTGATAAATATTTCTGAAGTATATATGTGTGTGTATGTGTGTGCGTGTGCGTGTCGTACGTGTACATACATACATACATACATATATATGTATGTGTATGTATGCACGGATACAAATATATGTACACCAATGTAAGTGTGTATATTTATATCATGTGCGTATATATATATATATATGCGTGTGTACATGTACGTACATGGATGTGCATGTGTGTATGTATCTATGAATTTGTATGCGTATATAAATGTGTATGGATGTATATATATGTATACGTATATCTATATAAATGTGTGGACATGTATATACGTTTGTATACGTTTGTATGTAGGTATTCATATATATATATAT